GTCTTACCTGAACCACTTCTCCCAGTGACCAACATGCTGAAAGGCTATGTCATTGCTGGATGTCCAATATTTCGGGATGATTCATGTTTAGTGACCTCATCCATATTCAAAAGACGAAGTTTCATAGGGGGTAGTCCTGTCTTTTGGTTCTTCTGCATATCAGGTTGGGGATCCATAACTATAATTTCTATTTAAGGGTATTTTATAGTTTGGAATATTTTTTTCTTTATTGTAAGATGAATATAGACGAGAGATTATGCACCATAGGAAGTATATGATTAGTAATACTACTACGAAGATGATTGCATGCTGAAAGAAGGAATCGGATTTCTCATTAACCAGAGCTTGGGTCACTTTGTGGCCAGCAGTAATGGGTAATATTGAAAGATCTCTTTAAGGCCTGATGAGTTCAGGACTAGTGATATCGTTATCTTTCTCTAGTTTACTAACACTTGAAGGTTCATTTTGGTCAGAAGCGCTTAGGCATGATCTCGTCCCTCCATGTACTTCATACTCGCTAGATGTTTTTTGGATCTGCTCAGCTAAACAAGCATTATTTGGTTCCTTTAGTTTTGCTTCTTGAATGAGAGAATTTCTTTCTGACAATGCCTTTTGCAACACTTCTAGTAAATCTTCCTTAGCAATTTTTTTTTCGATTTCCTTTACTTTATTTTCGAGCCCAAGCGTATAGACAAAGCTCTTTAAACTTTCATCAATCCAATCAGGTAACTTTAGATCTTGCTTACCTAACTCCTCTAGTATCCCGCCATTTATATTCGAATCATGGAATACCTGTTCTAGTTCCAGATTTTCCAACTTACCTTCCAATTCACTTATTTTAGCTTCAAGAGAGAGAATCTTGATCTTGTCAAGGGATGAAGCTTTCTGTGCCAAAGTCGCTTCTTTCTCCAGTGTTTTAATCAAGGATTTGAGTGATTTGATTTCAGCAGAATATTTCTCTCGCTCTGCTTTACACTCACTACGGGATAACTGCTCAGAAGATCTAAGCCTAGTATTGGTCACATTCAGCTGACTAATCTTTTTATTAGCATTAGCTTGAACTAGCACAAGATCCTTTTTTTGCTTTAAACATACATCCTGCAGGTCTTTATAATCATTAGCAATATCAGAAGCAGTTTTGATGCTACCGCGCAATGCTTTCTCAAGTTCTGATTCACGGATGCTACCAAGCCGACGACCTGGAGGGATTTGTTTACCTAGTAAACTTCCAACTGCTCCTCTACCCTCGATATCATTCAATGTATGCACATTAGACATAATATTAGCATGGTTATATATTAGAAAAAAATGTACGAATAAATTTCCGAGATAATAGACATAATTTGTTTATTCAGTATAATACAATCTTTCTAAATATCCTATATATCCTGTACATCCTATATATCCGGAATATTATTTTCCTATTTATCCTGTATATCCTATACATCCGGAATATTATCTTCCTATTTATCCTGTATATCCTATATATTCAGAATAACACATTCTTTCTATATATCCTATTTAATAAATTATTTTGAATTATTATAATAGATATAAAAAAAATATTGCTATCATGCTTAGGCAACGGATGAGATGTGATGCCCCTCCTTTTTCACCAGCCGATTATGATCATATTATGCAATGTGCTGAAAAAAAGCCTAGAGATAAAGTTTTAAAGGATTTAACAGATAAATATCGAACATCACAAAAACGTATTTATCAGATCTGGAGAGGTGAAGAAAAAAATAGGGTTGTCTGGAATCAACCAATTCATATGCCAACAGCTTTGCTTTCTAATATAAATGTTGTGGATGGGCGGACTGAGCCAGAGACCCAAGGCCATGATGTTTCTCCATTTACAGAATTGGAAAAAGAAATACGTGATGCTAAGATAGAGCCTAGCAAATCTATTGATTCAGTTTTAGAAGAAGCTGGGAAGGCGAAAAAGACTGGAGGCAAGAAATGGTCCCAAGGGAGTCAAGCAATTCCTGGAACAAAAAAGAAAATATTTCATCTACCGAATCTTCCGAAGATGTCTTAGATTTGTATAAGAGAAGTAGTTCTGAAATAGAAAAAATTAGAGCATTTGGTCGTACTCTTATTCCCAACTAGTTACTCGACCTTTCTTTCATACCGGTCAAGCAAAGCATTATAGTATCCTATGATTTCCAAATTCGATTGGATACTAGAGAATAATGCTTTCTCAAGCTCTTTTACACGAATTGCCATATCCTTGACTGTGATACAATTTATGTATTTTTTTTAAAATCTTCACTAGTCGGGCTAGAAGAATTAGTGGATACTTGGTCCTGATCTTCTTTTGGCGGATCCTTGACTACTGGAGCCTTGCTAAAGGTTGGGATAGTGTATGTCTTTCCATGATTCTCTATGTGAAATCGATTATTAGTTGGATCAGAAATACCTTTGACTTTTCGAATTCCTGTCGCCCCCAACCATAGCATTGGCTTGAGTTCACCATTGTCTATACAAGCATAATTTCTAATAATAGTAACAATTGGTTTGCCTTTCTCATCCCTTAGAG